TATAATATTAAATTAATCTAATTTTCTATTTGTCAATCTATCTTTAAATAATATTTCCTAGTTAATTTCTATCCCATTACTCCGACACTAATGCACTTTTTACAAATTACAAATCACTATCTATTATATTATACTCTTATTATACGATTTGATTATATCCAACACCATGACTTACTTACTTACTTCCCTTTTCCTATTACTAATCTATCCCTTTTATTTTCATTCCTAGTTTTTATATCTTTTTCTTTTTTTTTTTTTTTTTTTTACTTTAGAAGCAACTTTTTTGGTCCTTCTCCTCTTCTTCGTCTTCTTTTCCAGTCTAGACGATGCATGGGCCACTTTGTTCACCGTGCCAAGTGCACTTATATTCTCCTCTTGCATTCGGCAACGTTGCGTAACTACTCGAAAAGTGTTCACCCTGATCGAAGTGCATGTGCACCTTCTCCTTCCTCCCCCTCCTCCTCCTCCTCCTCCTCCTCCTCTTTTCTTTGTGCATGCGAATTTCTTCTCACCCTGTCCCTGTACCTCGTTCTATTCCACTTTATTCGATGCACATATATATTTTATATACAATGTATACTTATATACTTAATATACTATTCAGTATACATATATACATTCATATGTATTATTTACCATATACTTCAATATATATACATACATATATATATACATTCATACTTATATATTTAGCATATACTTTAATTATAATATACATTCAATATATATATATATATATATATATAATTTTAAATATAACTTAAATATAATTTTGGAACCAAATATCAATTTTAAAATCTTCTATTTTACTTATAGAACATTAATTTTAATTTTAAATATAATTTAAATATAATTTTTGGAACCAAATATCAATTTTAAAATCTTCTATTTTACTTATAGAACATTAATTTTATTTTTAAATATAATTTAATTATAGATAATTATATTTACTTATAGTTGTATTTAATTATAGGTAAATATAGACTAAATTGTAGACTATAGAACATTAATATTAATTTTGAATATTATTTAATTATAGATAATTATATTTACTTATATTTGTATTTAATTATATAGGTAAATTATATTAAATATAATATAATTTACCTCTATAGAACCTTAATATTAAATATAATTTATCTATAGAACATTATAATTTTAATTTTAAATATAATTTAAATATAATTCTTACAACCAAATATCAATTTTCAAATTTTCTATTTTACTTATAGAACATTATAATTAATTTATAATTAAATTATATCAATTATTTCTATTTACAAAAGAAAAAAAAATATTAACATAAAATCAAATGAAATTATTTTTATTAACTCACACATTAACTTCATTAATATAAAATATTATATATATATATTTGTTAAATATTTTTATTGTTTTCTGTGCTCTTAATTTTAATCAAATGATACATATATATATATATATATATATGTATCTATGTAATGTTGAAGAAAGAAAAATAAGGTCATAAATTAGCACGAAATTCCGAACGACAACCTTTTTCTTCCTTCCTCTCCCTTTTCCCTCCTCATCCTCATCCTCCTCTTTCTTCTTCTTCCTCTTCCATATTACTCACTTTCGAGTTAGTATTATTTTGTTGTCTCTCTTTCTCTTTCTCTTTCTCTCTCTCTCTCTCGTAAATCAAACTAGAGTTGGATGGTTTTACAGTCATGGTAAAATATCGTCGATTCGCGATTACTCTTCCTAACGTGATTACCGTTATCGTTAAGAACGTGTTATATATATATACATGTACATACATGTGTATGTATGCATATGTATACATTTTATTTATATGTATATGTAAATAACGTAGGAAGAATACGATAGGAGAGAAAATAAATGTTTGTGCTTTTATTTTATACGAGTTTTTGACTCGCCTCGAAACATCGGTTCTACAGTTAAACCGAATAAAAGAGAAAAATCAAATAAAAAAAAAAAAAAACTTTAAAAAGAAAGAAACGAAATAAAAATAAGAAAAGAGGAAAAGATCGATTAGTCTAATCGATAGATGATTCTCTCCAAGAAAGGAGAACAAGAGCTTCCTTTCTCTTTTGATACACGTTCTTTTCTTATTTGCAATCTTCTTGATTTTTATTGAATTTTTTTTATTTCTTTTTATTTGTCTCTCTTGATTTTTATTTTATTTTTTATCTTATGAAAGAAAAGGAAGATAAGAAAAGAGTGAGAGAGAGAGAGAGAGACAGAGAAAGAGAGATGTATACTTTCTCTCGCGTTGCAAATATACTCACTTATTTCCGCCATCTTTGTAGATCTTTATATTAAAGATGATGCACCTGCATTATATTCTCTCGATATCTTTCTTTATATTTATTCTAGAAACAAACAAAGATACGTATATTTAATATATATATATTACCAATTATTTAAATTTAATTTAATTAAATTTAATTTAATTTTAGTTATTTAATTTTATTTATTAATAATTAAATTTATTGTATAATATAATATTATTATATTT